CCTCCCCCAGTCTCGGGCTTCGGTGCCACCTGTGCCCACGAATGCCCAGGTGCTCCCATCCCCCGCCCACAGGGTCTCAGCCTCTCCAGGTCCCAGGCCCCGAGGGCTCCCCGCTGTCCCCCAACCCTGCTGCTCCTCCCTCAGCTCCATGCTCGGGGCACAGGGGTCCCCTCCCCACCTCACAGCCCATGTCCAGGGGTCAGCACAGCGGCTCGCTCCCCCTGCAGATCCACCTGGACTCTGCCCGCTCTCCCTCGCCTCCACCCCTGCGCCTGCTCCCCGCCACCCTGACCTCTGCCTTGGGGTGTCCCCCTCATCTCCCTCAGCCCCCACCTTCCTTCTCAGAGTGACCCTTTCCGATATAACTCAGACCAGCCGAGGGTCACTTCACCCCAAACCGGACAACGCTGCCCTTCTTGCCCAGGGTAGAGCCGGGCCCTCCCGGCGGCCGGGGCGCTGCAGACCTGGCCTGGCTCTCTGGGCCGCTGCCCCCCACTCCCCGCGGGCCACATGGCCTCCTGGCCTCCCTCAGCCGTGTGGCCATGTTCCTGCCTCAGTGTCCCCACACCCACGGCTCACTCCGCCTGACACACTCTCCTGGGCCCTGTGTGGCCTCGCTTCCTTGGGGCCGCGGCTGCGATGTTATTTAGGGTGCGGTCCACCCCGGCCCCCTCCCCCAGCACAGCCGCCTGCCCCGGGGGCTCCCACACCCCGCCTTCCCGCTCATCTGCTCCAACGGGCTCTGCTTCCCGCGCGCGTGGTCTGACCTCCCCACAGGCCACTAGGCTTTGCTCTGTCTCCGGCACCCAAACAGGGCCGGGCGCCCCACAGGCTCCCCACAGGCTCCCCGCAAGTGAAGGGTGTGAGCAGCAGAGCTAGGCACCCAGCGGGGTGCAGCGGCTCCTCTGGCCACCAGAGGGCGCCAGCGCCCAGAGGATGAGCCGAGAGCCGGGCGAGCACGTGACCGCGCCTGCCCGCTGTCTGCGATGACAGCTGCGGTTTCATGAAGAAGCGAATGCTGACGATGTCGGTAAGAACGTTTGTCTTCACTCGACCGCTACACGCTTCCCAAGGCGGGGAGGCCTTGCCGAGAAAACGGGGTGCAGCCCAGTCTCGGAAGCCACGGGTGACCCCCTCAGTGCACCTGAGAGTCCCCACGCCCCGTGCCAGGCCACAGCCCAGATTCACACCCGAAACCGTGGGATCCCACAGCCACCTGCTCCCTCCCAGGGCTCATGCCGAGCTGGGGGGGTCGAGGCCCAGAGAGGGCACAGAGGAGAAGCAGCGCAGCCTCGGGGGGCAGGCCAGGCCCAGCTTCACAGCCCAGCCCTCACGCAGGTGGGCAGCGGGGGGGGGCGGGGGGGGGGTTGTACTCACGAGCAGGACCTGGCCAGCTGGCAGAGGCCGCAGGCGGGCTTCCGCATCAGGTACATGGGCCAGCCGTAGGCGGCCAGCGCGAACAGCATGTAGTAGCAGACCTCCTTGTAGCGCAGCATCTCTTGCTGCAAGAGAGGGGGCAGCTGGTCACCTCCTGACCTTCACACCGCAGCCTCGGGCCACGGGCTCCGCCCCCCCCCCCCCTTCCTTGGAGGAGGGACCGCTCCTCCAGATGATAATTGCTTTTCCCTAATTATCTCCACGCAACCAGGGCACGCATCCTCCCGGGACCTGTCCTGTTGCTCCAGCCTCAGAATTAATGTTTTGGGGACAGAGAAGCACTCGGGGCATCTGGCCGATCTCCGTGCCCAGCTTCCCAGCGAGGGAAGAGAGGGGGAGGGGGAGTGACCATCAGCCCCCTCGGCAGCCAGGCCCTGGGAAGGGAAACTTAACCCTGAGAGGCCCCGGGCCCTCCGCTGGGGGTGTCCGGGCCTTGAGCAGCGGGGCCAGCCCTGGATACTAGGTGACCAGACAAGTGGCCGACTCCCTAACTTGATGCACTGAGTCACTGGCTTGAAAGGGGCAGGCGGGGAGATTGGGATCTCTGTGGGCAGACTGGCACCTCTCTGGGCAGACTGGGGTCTCTCTGGAGAAAGGTGCCAGTTGGAAACCCATGTCTAAGGCCAGGGCTGTTGCTGTCAACCCCAAAGGTGGAGGAGGCAGAAGGCACCAGTGTCCCCACAGAGCAAAGCTGCGCCCCGTGTCCTGGCTGCCCCGGGGCTGGGAGACTCCTGCGTGGAAAGGGAGTCAGTCGCCTCGTCAACGTTAGTGGGGATGAGTCACCCTGAGCCCTGAGCGGTGGGAAAGGTCCTGAGTCAGGGCCCAGAGGGGGAAGGAGCCTGGGCCAGCTGATTACCCTCCTGCCTCAGAGCCCCAGGCTGCGGGGCGGGCGGCGGCCTCTGCCGGGCGCAGGCGGGACCCCAGCACTAGGGCTCATGCCTGCCCCTGCCCCTCGGGGCCGAGCACTTTCGCAGGGGATACAGGCCTGCTTTGGGGGTGGGGCAGACGGAGACCCGAGCTCTCCCAGGGGCTCAGATGCCAGGATGAATCCTTGCTGGCAGCGCCCGGACTGGCACCACTGTGTGCTGAGAGCCGGTCTCAGGTGGCTCACTTCCCTGCCACCAGAGCTCCGGGCAGAAGGGGTGCCCAGGCCGTCCACGCACAGGCGCAGGGGTCAGGGACTCGCTTAAGGTCACGGCACTGGGGGCGGGCGCACAGCCAGTTGGCTTGTGGGGGGGCAGAGCCGGCTGATGGCAGGGACGCCCTGTTCCCTGTGCCACACACACTGACTGGCTCTCCACCAGAGGCGCTGGGAGAGGTTCTGCCACCGGAAGCTGGAAACCCAAGCGCCACGGCAGCTGCCTTTTATTTTACTTACTTTTAAAATATATTTTTATTGATTCCAGAGAGGAAGGGAGAGAGAGAAACATCCATGATGAGAGAGAATCATGGATCGGCTGCCTCCTGCACACCCCACACTGGGGATCGAGCCCGCAACCCGGGCCTGTGCCCTGACCGGGAATCGAACTGTGACCTCCTGGTTCACAGGTTGACGCTCAACCCACTGAGCCACGCCGGCCAGGCCAGCTGTCTTTTATGACGACAGCAATGACAGTGACAACAGTAGCCGCTCCCTCTGTGAAGGGCCGGGCATCCGGCGTGTGGGCAAGTGGACGCAGCAGAACCAGCGTGGGGGAGGTTCCGGGGGACGGGGACGGGGGCGAGGCCGAGAGGAGGTGCCCTCGGGGGGCTCAGGGGCAGGCTGGAGCAGGTGGCCTGCTCGGGTCCCTCCAGCAGAGGGAGAGAGGGACCCGGACAGCGTGGGGTGGGGAGGTTCAGACTCACCGAGTTCTTGAGGTCGAGGTACTTGGTGTTTCTGGTCACTGGCATCCCCGACAGGAAGGCCAAGATGTCATTGTTGGCCTGAAAGACGGGCGTGTGAAGGCAGCTGCGGGGCCCAGCGCTGAGAAAGGGGGCTAGGCGCCCGCTCTGCACGCCGCCTGCTTCCCAAGGGCTCAAGGAGTGCGTGGTTCCTAGCTCTGCCGTGGCCCCGCCCGGCTTCCAAAAGCCCAGGTCCTGTCCTGTCTCCAGCTGCTCCCCTTCCAATCTAAGCATCACCCCACCTCTTCCTGGGCGCCTGGGAGATGCTCCCTGGGGCTGGTGTGTTGGGGGGGGATGGAGAGGTGAAGCCAGGCTGTGTCGGTCATTAGCTCCACGGTCGGAAGTCCCTGTGGCAGCCCGGCCTGGGAAGCAGCCCACATGGCCCAGCGGAGGGAGGTGGCTCAGCAGAGTGGTGAGTGGTGGCTGGGCGCTCACCTCGTCCAGCACGGCGTTGCGTTTGGCCCGCTGTCGCTGCCGAAGCAGGACCAGGCCAGCGATGATGTCAGAGGGCACGATGTCCAGGTCCCGGAAAAACTCGGCGAAGAGGTAGGCGATTTCCGAGTAGGCATCCTACGAGGTCCGGGGGGGCGGGGCGGGGGCGGGGCAGCAGGAGAGAGGACACGAGACGGGAG